AAAAAAAAAAGTTGGGGGCCCCCCGCGCCCCCCCCCTGAGGGGGGACCAAAATTTTGACCCCCCCCAAAAGATGGTTCCCTTTGAGATAGGAACATTCCCAAAGTTTCATTACCCTAGCTCAATTCGTTCAAAAGTTAGCAGGGGTGGGACGGACTTTTGGTACACCCTGTATATGAAGGAAAAAATTAAAGTGCTTTGGAAATCATTAAATTTGACACGGGAACCACCTTAATATTTATAAAACGCACATTATATTTTCCTTTTATGCATATTTTTTTTTTTTTTTTTTTTTTTTTTTTTTTTTTTTTTTTTTTTTTTTTTTTTTTTNTTTTTTTTTTTTTTTTTTCATCTATTGAAATGAGAATAATCCATGCAGAGTGTGCAAACATTTCAAAATCATGAATTGAAAAATGCTGACTCCGCGAGTTCAAATATTAGAGCCAAACACAGAGCGGAGCGGCGCGGCGCACGGCGTGCTGCCAGCGCAAAGCGCGCTCTAGCGCCTACAAACCTAACAGGGATATTTCACGCATTGCGCAATGCGTGAAGTATCCCTGTTGGGTTTGTAGGCGCCAATGCGCTGTGTTTCTGTGCGCCAAGTTTCGCGCTGACCGCCCGCCGCGCCGCCTCAAGCAATTGTTTCCTAGAAGAGGTGTTGCACAGTATCGTACGAAATTGAAGGCGCTCCAACATATTAAGAATGACAGGCATCCGTTAAGAGTACGGAGCTTTCCTCGCAAAATGAATCAAGATTCTACGGCACAAAAAGAGAGCAGTAGCCCAAATATATAATCCCCAAATGTATACCCGATAATAATCGGGTCGATTTGACCTGGATTGGATTTTCGAGGGGTGCGGTCGTCAAAATAAATCCCCTAACACTAGACTTTTTTCTTTTTTTTTCAATTTGATGTCTGATTCTTTTTTTTACGATGTGATCTTGGACCTAGATAACTCTCGTGAGTACCGGCCCCATGCAACCCACGCGGCGCGTGTCATTGGCGGATCCAGCGAATTGGCAACATCGTGTTCTCCATTTAAATCTATGGAAATATATCGATTCTTAGAGGGGCCAGGTGCTCCGACAAGAATCGAATACTTAGCACAGGTTTAAATATAGGAAATACGGTGTTGCCAAATTGCCGGATCCACCTCTGGCGCGTGTTTTTAGCAAGCCTCCGAGTCATTTTGACTCGGCTTACGCATCTACCCAAAAAGCTACTCGTAGCTCTTTTCAACGGAAAAATCGGGATGTACTGCAATTTTATCGGCGATTAAATCGCTAGGATCATCAACACTTGACCGATTATCCTCGATCTTGTCGGGATGAAATCGTGATTTTATCGCCAGGCAATTTATCGCGATATTTCCGAAATAAACAGCGCGATAAATGGCGATTTGATCTCGATTTTATCGACGAAAATTGATCGCGATTTTATCGAACAAAAAATGCGGTGTGTAGCGATTTACTTGCAATGAATCGCAATTTTTAATGCGATAATATCTCGATATATTCGGGATAACCAACCAATAAAATCGCTTTTTATCGCGATCACTGCTACTTGGGATGGGTGATTTTATGGCTGAGCCTAATAGAGTAGTTCCTGACTGAAAAATGTAGATCATTTCTGGATGAGACAAGAGTTTTATTAACTTACCTTGCTCCACAGTTCAACTGCTGCGGGGTGGTGAGCGATGAGGACTATTCGAGCACCAGATGGAAGAACGGAAGTTTCATATCGGGCCCGAACGTCCCTGGCTCTTGCTGTGTGTTGGCTGACAAACATGACATCTCCATGACACGGAGTCCAATCAGCGCTGTATCAAGGGTGTTCCATGCTGCTGTAAGACGTTTTTTTCCTTCCTCTCTCACAATCAGTGAAGTACTTTTTATGGGGCTAATAGTATTTTTGAAATTCCATTTTCCACTGTTTGTAAAAAATGGGTCTACTGCAAACTCTGTTCCGAAAAAGAGAGGAGGGGATGCTTCTTATGGTAAGGTGCTAAAAATTACGATAAGGAGATCGAGAGAGTTTGAAATCGCTCCTAATTTCAAAATCTGTGTGGGATATTTGCCCATTTTTTAAGCTTTCCTGCTTCAAGGAAGGCACGATTAATTAGAGTGTAAAATTAGAGATGAATTTCGGATTTTTCCGATGCACTCATGGTGATTTTTAAGCTTTCTTAAAGAAAAGACTCTTTTTCTAGCTCCAGTAAAAATTTGCAACATACCTATTTCGACATTACTTGATTTTTTCTGAATTTTTCATGGGAAATCCCTGAATGCTTATGCTATGCTTTTCTCGTGTATCGTTAAGACGGGGAGTAGTACCTGTCTTTAGAGACTGAGACAGATCTGACACTAATTGTAACATTGAAAGTAACACTGACAAATGAAACTGAGGCCAGTGTTAAAGTCAGTCTTGACAAGTGCTTAATAGGGATGGGAATGGATGTAAGTATTGGTGCTTACTCTACTGGAAGCTTTTCGTATCAAGATTGCTGATCTACAAAGCTTGAACTATCGAATCAGATGGAGTCAGTCAAAATGGCTCTTAATGTAGGTAGGGGGAGGATAAAATAGCTATACACCACACTGAAAAAACGATTAAGTGCTGAGCACTTACTGTTTAGATCAAATGGAGCCAGCTGATATGGCCTAGTCTGTAGGGCTGGACCCTAAAGTTTTAGGGTTCAGCAATACTGCCATACTAGCTGGCTCCATTTGATCTGAACAGTTAGTGCTCAGCACTATATCGTTTTTCCGTGAACAGCTGAAAGGGATGCGTTCTGAATCTTTAGCCGCAACGGACACCCGAAAATTCCAAAAAGCCACCTAGTGGGAATATTACCGAAGCAGAATTAGAAGCAAATTTGAGAAAAACATTGCAGTTGAAACAGACTGGCGGTGTTCCCAGCAATGGGTAATATTGCCAAACGATACATTCTAGACGCATCTAAAGTTACTTGTTATCTAAATTAGGACTTTACATGTTGAACAAGCGTTCCAATACTTTTTGAGGAGAAAAAAAACCACTTTGTTGACCCCACATTATTGTAACTATTTCTTTTTTTGCTATATTGACATCGGTATTCTATGAATCGGTAAAAATTAAGTTTTATACTATTACAGCAAGAGAAACCTTGGCAGAATCCACAGCCGAAAAACGGGAAAGCTTGCCAAAGTAATGACTTGGAGAGTCACGTCAACTTCCGTTACAAACAAGGCTGTTTCGATCATATTGAAGGCTGGTTCAAGCAGGAGAGTGATTTCATAGTTTTCCTCTGTCTTATCTCTAGTTTCCTCCAAGTGAGTTCATCATGAACATGCATTACGAAAAAATCGCCTACTTACATTATAGTCCAGTCAAATTAGATAAAAAATCTCGGATTACGGGAAAAAATTCCCATACAAGCGATTTTTGGCTAAAGTTGCTTGTTAGGGTCTGGAGAGGCACAGGCCAAAAGTCCCCATAGATACCCCTTGTGCTTAGCCCCCCAGCCCCCCCAAAGCCCCCCTAAAAGGCTAAAAAATCGGTTTTTCGGCTATATCTCGAGGACGGTTGGAGATAGCGAGTTGCGTATCATTGAGAAAATGTTCCTCATCAAATTCTGCAAAAAAAAGTTTCTTATGCTTTTTCTTCCCCAGGCACTCCTTGACCCTCAAAATGGCCGCCGAGTATGGGCGTCATAGCGCGCTTCCTCACTGTACGGTAAACATAGGTCCGCCTCTAGACCGCGCGGCCGCGCCGCCGAGTGTCTCAACCTTCTCACCCCGTCCCCCTCTATATATAGCTGAAATTTACATGATATGCAATAATTATGTACTCTTACCTTGTTTGCTATGCAAAATTCTGTTTTCAGTCAGTAAACTTTGATGCTTCAGCAATAGCCTGAGGGCGACTAACAGCCACAAAGGAAGGACACGTATTTTGATGACACTGTGATCCTAATTATTGCCCGACGTATTTGTGTGTGGTCGATTCACGGATTTCGAATAGATCAAGAATTTTAAAAAATAAATCTACCCCAGAACTTGCCGGACTTAGAATCTTAGAAACAATTTCTAGAGAAAATTTGGCGAAATCAAATTATCACCTTAAATGATAGTCCGGAATTTATACACAGACACAGGTAACACTTACTCCACGAAAATGACATTACATGTGATCCATTGCGATTATTTCAACGCATCTCCATTTTTATGACGTTGCAAGAAGGCCTTGAGAATTGTTCTAAGTATGAATTATCCCCGTACCCTCAGTCCTAGTTTGATACCAATAGAACAATGAAAACGAAAAAAACCTCTTTATGCGCCATTTTTGAGCCGAAACTAGAAAAAAAGGCCCCAAGTAACAGCAATTATATCCTTGATGGTGGATTACTATTACACCGCGTAGTCTGGCCCCAGGGAGCAGAAAAGTTTGGAGATTACAGAAAATTACGTAATCTATGTCCTTCGGAATTTTGGTAGAAATTGCCTCATTATTTTAGATGGTTATTCGAGTGACACACCGTCAACAAAAAATGGAGAGAGATCCTAAAGGTACGGTAAATCAATGGTCATGGAAATTGCTTTTAATGAAGAAACAAAAGTAACTTTAATCCAGGAAAAGTTTTCATCTAATGACGAAAACAAAACAAGACTGATAGAAGTTCCACAAAAAAAATTCAGGAACATCGGTCTTCAAAATAAAATTCCAGATGGAGATGCACACCCATACTGATTGTTCAAACGGCCTTGATCTTATCTTTGGAGTCAACCAAAAATTAATAATTTTAAGTACGTTGTCTCTAGAAAATAAGGAAATATTTTTTCTAAAACCTGGTTGACAAAACTTTGAAGCAAAAATTTACTCTTTTAAAAGCCTAAACGCCTGTCCGAACCTAAAAGATTACATGCTATTTTTACATGCATTTTTTGGGTGTGATACTAACTCGGCAATTTTTGGAAAGGGCAAGATGGCACTCTGCACTTTAAGGAAAAAAAGGAAGACATTCAAGATTTTGCGGGTCATTTTAGGATAAAGGCTTAACATTCAATTCCATGTCTGAGTCCGGTAGCAAAATTCTCTTAAGTCTATGTAGTGCAAAGAAACAAAATGATTCATTAGACAAACTTCGTGTCTATTTAATGAAAAAAAATTCACTCAAATTTTATTAACTTCATTTTCATTTTATTATTTAACCGCTACTAAAATTGTAACTCATAAATAAAGTGTTCTTTCATTCCTTGACAGACCGCCCTTTCCTCCCTTTTTTGTCCTCTCCTCCCCCCCCCCTTCCTACGACCTTGATTTACGTTCTTTTTAAAAACCATGAATTGACCTGCGAATGATTAAAAAAAAAAAAAATTACCACGCAAATATGTCGGGCAATAATTAGGATCACAATGTCATCAAAATACGTGTCCTTCCTTTGTGGCTGTTAATCGCCCTCAGGCTATTGCTGAAGCATCAAAGTTTACTGACTGAAAACAGAATTTTGCATAGCAAACAAGGTAGGAGTACATAATTATTGCATATCATGTAAATTTCAGCTATATATAGAGGGTGACGGGGTGAGAAGGTTGAGACACTCGGCGGCGCGGCCGCGCGGTCTAGAGGCGGACCTATGTGCACCGTACAGTGAGGAAGCGCGCTATGACGCCCATACTCGGCGGCCATTTTGAGGGTCAAGGAGTGCCTGGGGAAGAAAAAGCATAAGACATTTTTTTTTGCAGAATTTGATGAGGAACATTTTCTCAATGATACGCAACTCGCTATCTCCAACCGTCCTCGAGATATAGCCGAAAAACGGATTTTTTAGCCTTTTTGGGGGGGCTTTGGGGGGGGCTGGGGGGCTAAGCACAAGGGGTATCGATGGGGACTTTTGGCCTGTGCCTCTCCAGACCCTAACAAGCAACTTTAGCCAAAAATCGCTTGTATGGGAATTTTTTCCTCTAATTTTTCTAATTTGACTGGACTATACGCAAAGAGAACTAACGAGCACACCCCACATTTCTCACCTCCACATAGGTCTGTTTGGTAGAAATACGTCCAATGGGCCTGTTGCAAACTTTTGCTAGAGCAAAAATAAGAGTTGTTTCTTGTAGATAATGCCTCAAAAATCACGATGAGCGCATCGGCAAAGTCTGAAATGCACTCATAACTTCACAATCTGCGTAAGAAATTTGCGTTTTTTTAAGCTTCCCGCTTCAAAAACGATACTACGGCACAGGTGAACATTTTGTTAGAGGAGTCGCTCCATCGTCGGCGATATTCATCATGGCCGACGCTTGCACGCAGTTCCGCGCGTAATTCAAGGAGAGTTCAAGGTCAATCAATTCGGGCGTGGAAAATATGAACGTTAACACACCGATTGTTATCTGGTCTAATCCAGTTCAGGTGTTATCTCGTCCCATCAAACGTGTTTTGGCGGATTGGCGTCGGCCATGATGATTATTGCCGACGATGGAACGACTCCTCTTACAAAATGTTCACCTGTGCCGTAGTATCGTTTTTGAAGCGGGAAGCTCAAAAAATCGCAAATTTCTTACGCAGATTGTGAAGTTATAAGTGCATCACAGACTTTGCCGATGCGCTCATCGTGATTTTTGAGGCATTATCTATAAGAAACAACTCTTATTTTTGCTCTAGCAAAAGTTTGCAACAGGCCCATTGGACGTATTTCTATCAAACGGAACTATATATGTGCATTAAGAGATGAGCCCTGAGACCCAAAAGAATATTTGCATAACAGGGCTCACGTCATAATGCACGTAGTTCCGTTTAATAGAAATACGTCCAATTGATACTGAATATTAAGCGGAAATTTTGTTTTTGCGAAAAACTGTCAGTCGCTCAACCCCAATTATTGTAAAACACAGAGATTCTTTGGAGTCATGAGAACGGAGGAGAGTAGAAAAATAACAATGAATTTAAAATCTTTGTGAATTCACGATTCTCGTCCTTCACTTCCTCGCCTCAAACCTAAAACGGACGTATTTCTACCAAACAGACCTACGTGCAAGTGAGAAATATGGGGTGTGCTCGTTAGTTCTCTTTGCGTAAGAGTGAATGAGAATAATAAAGCGCCAGTGACGTCAGCGGCAACGGACGAGCGCCAGCACAACTCAAGAGATGCCTTTAGCTTGTCGACCATTCCGATCGACAAAGGACGACAAGCAGCGATAAGACATAGCCGACCTATCACGCTTCGCCATTTAACCTACGTCATCCATTTCCACCCGACAAACACAAAATGTCAACAATCAGGCTGCCGGTGATTTCTATTTTGGAAATGAAGACATTATCGGTCACTTACCGGTCAAATCAGCGAATTTATTAATACCAAAGACTCGTCCGGGCGTGCCATCTTTTTTTCTATGGTCGTAATTCCCTTGCCGAATATATTCCAAATTCTGCTTGAAAATTTGAAATCTCTTCAATTTTTCCTGCGGGCTTGCGTATTCTTTATGGAAATCTTTCATAAATTTGTTGAACTTCATCTCCGCCTATAATTGAAAGTGGAAATAGAAAATCAATTCCAGAACTCGAGGGATTGCAGGATAGTGACTCGTTCAATCTTTGCGTGTGCAGACGAAAAACAACACACTAGATAGGGAGAGTATGGACATGTCGAAATATGGAGCTCTTGGGGCCCAAAAGGGCAGCCAACCTTCGAAAACAAAAAATGTCACCGCCAATCTTCAGATTCCAATATTAAACCACAATCGCCAAGAATTTTCGTAAATGAGCGTTCTTCCAAAAAAAATGAGTAAATTTATCCAAAACTAAGTCAAATACGTGCTGCACCAACGTACCAACGACTGGTTGTAACAATTGTAATAATGAATCACTGTGGATAATTTGAATTCATAGATTTGCTACCCTCCTGGGCTCTAAGCTCCATCATCTTACCTCTAAATTACCGACATGTCCGTACTCTCCCTATATAGGTACTCCATAAAATATTAGAGGGTACGCCCCCTGGCCGCCATGCGGCTCTACCCCTTGATGGCGCTTCGCGGGCCTGGTGAGTGATACAGATGAAAATTGCAGTGAGTTCGTAAATATTGAGACGACAAAATCAAAAGGCGTGAACGATTATCGATATTTCCCCATTTGAGGCTATGGTAAATAATCGATTATCAAGGTGTTCCTTGAGAATACCCTGTTTTTCGATCCTTTTCCATAGGTTTAAAAGGCAGATCAATCAATACATCGGAAAGCACAGCACGCCACTGATTTTCAGCTTTTGCGCGATTCAATCCGGGCGCGATCAAAATATTCTAAATTTTACGTCTGAAAAGAAAGTAGAGAGGCCTCAGACGATCAAATTCTCGAACCAGTTACCATCAAAGTGTCGGGAGTCATCAGTCTTGAACTCATTAATTTGCTTAATTTTAAAATGAAAACTTGGCAGAAATGTTTCCTGTGGTAGGAAATGATGAATGGTGCCACTCCATTCTGATCTTACTTTGAACAATAGTGCGGCCCGTCAAAATTTGATGGTAGATGGTGACCACCAGTCATCAGCCAGCATGTCTACTTTGATCAGAATTGGTTCGGAATTTGATCGTTTATATCCAGGCTGAAAATACTGAGTCCGATGAATCGTTGATATAGATAGATTGCAATCGGTTGCAGAATGGAAACAGTGCTCTTTTTCGTTTTAACATTTTGGAAGATGATTTTCGGCAACATAGTCCAGTACCACATGTACAAATAAGAGGCCCCGTGTGCAGTTTCGTGGGTAAAATTGTTGTTATATACCGTTCTCTTCTTTAGGATGTCTGGAATCAGAATTTCCATGGTGTCAAGTTCAAAAATTGAACCAACGCCCAGAATTCAAGATGGCGTCCAAGATGGCCGCCACCATGGTGAAAGTTTTAAATTTTGTCGGATAGCGTCGAGTCAGATGTCGATTCCTATGTAAAATGACACGAGTAATCCGAATATGACATTTAAAAACACTCCTGACCCAAAGGAGGGCTCCAAATCCAAGATGGCGGCCAAAAATACCACTCAGGGGTACTAATTTGCCTATACGGGTCCAAGTGCATAGTGAGGTATCAATTATTAGGTTTTCAGGGTCGTAGAGTCAGAAAATGAGGTCCGGTTCTCGCTGCGGCCCTCGAGAAACCCTTAAATCAAATATGGCGCCCAAAATGGCCACCGGTTTTACGGCTGAAACACCAATTTAGCGCAGCTATGATAAGCAATACGTTCAACATTTAGTTTCATGGGGCAAGGAGTTCGGATAGGAGATCGAATGTTCACTTCTAAAAAAAATTAAGCCCCCTGGAGCTATTTTCAATAGCTAAACTAATCAGTAAATAAACAATCTCAAATACCAGAGGAAACCAAACTGGATCGCAGTAACTTTTTATATATTAACAGCATATAAAGAACAGCAGGGAGAAATCACTAGGCAACTAAAAACTATACAGTGTTGTAAAGTTTTTACATTCTCCCCCCTTAAAAAAATGTATACAGATTGAATATCATTAAAAATTTGAAAATTTTGAAATTGAAATTTCATCAGTAAAAACTGTGTGTGTGTGTTGTTTTTTAAGCACATTAAATTTAAGTTAGTTATCACTTAACGGTAATACACAAACTTCAGTGATGGCTCTCACTAGTGTGGATGTTGCTGTTTTCAATGTTCTCAATCTCTCAAAGTTTGAATCGCAACTAAATAATTTGCTTCCGTGCGCTTTGCTTTTGCGTGTGCTTTCAAACTTATCAAAGTTATCTTCATCAACATGACTATTGCTTCCATATAGCATATCAATGCTTTTTATTTCACGCAAAATTTTGAAATAATGTGGCAACAATGCCGCGGATTCAGCATACCGCGCTTTTATTGCTGAAAGTGAGGAAACATCACCTTCCACAGACTTCTTAAAATTCAACAGCTGACGCTCCAATTGTTCTTTTGAGGTTAATAATCCATTCAACTTTTCATGATGATCAGTATTGGGAAGCGTTGGGCTGATTCGCGTAGCTTTCGATGCCTTGACAGTTCTTGATTTCTTCATTATTATTTTTTAAGAACCGCACTTTACCGCTTTTAACCGCACTACACACAAGTGTGTGTGCTTGGATTTACACAATTTCAAATTATCAAATTATGCAGTCTAAATGACATTAATCCATCATCAAGCTTGCCTGGCAACAATGTACCTGGCAATGCGTTTTTTTTTTTTTTTTTAGAATTTTCGTTCGTGTCGAGACACCGCCTCTGTCCGATCGAATGAGAAGCCTAGGCCCAGGTCTTACACAAGTATTGCAAGGATAAGAATGGAGGCGAAAATATCGCTCACTGCAATCTTATTTCTATCCAAGCTTAATTCATGAGTTCACATCGGGAATGGAGGCGAAAAATATCGCTCACTACATTCTCTATGATGTAGCTTTTAAGCTCTCAGTTTGCATGCGACAATATCGCTTACTGCATTTATATTATTATCGAATGGAGGCGAAAACCGCTCACTGCATTCATATTATTATCGAATGGAGGCGAAAACCGCTCACTGCATTCATATTATTATCGAATGGAGGCGAAAACCGCTCACTGCATTCATATTATTATCGGATGGAGGCGAAAACCGCTCACTGCATCCTCAATAATAAGTTAGTAAGAAATGCTCTTGTCAAAGTGCTAAACGCAACGTCTACTAATTTACTCTCTTTTTTTTTTAGGTTAGCTCAATTACAAACATTTCATCTTCACTCTAATTCCTTATTATTTTTCACTTTGACTAGAGATTTCGAGTATATAATCACGTCGGGGTCACCAAATGGAGCTATTTTCAATAGCTAAACTAATCAGTAAATAAACAATCTCAAATACCAGAGGAAACCAAACTGGATCGCAGTAACTTTTTATATATTAACAGCATATAAAGAACAACAGGGAGAAATCACTAGGCAACTAAAAACTATACAGTGTTGTAAAGTTTTTACACCCCCGAATCGAAAATGGCTACCCATCCCCCCACATGGAACATGGGCGCCAGTTAGAGGCGCAGACCGGTAAATGACTATTAATATTAAGGGCATTTGCCAAAGCAGGGGCCTTGATAAAGGCCGTTTTACGGCCCAAACACTGAAATTCTTCAATTCTACGATTTTTCGCTTATTGGAAGTCTAAATTTTACGGAATGTATCATGCCTTGGTCATTTTCGGTCTATTTTGGGATCTAATGCTGGCCTAAACATGAGTCTGAACGCTAATTTTGGCGGAAAATTCGGGTTTCTTGGCATTCGACGCGCTGCGCCTGCTATTTCATGACGATCATATATCATCGGAGGAGCAAATTTTCCTTCAAGTATGTTCATTAAAGGGTAAGATAGTCACTTTGGCCAACTTTCGTCGATGGCAAACCTTCCACTCATAGTTAAAACGAACTTTTTAGAATTTTCTTGTTTTTCATCATTATTTATGATGGCGCCTAATTAGATCACAAATCTTAGACATTTTTAACACTGTAGACTGGTACTGGACTAACACTGAGAAAAAGATATGGCTTATAAGCCAATTAGTGGTTCATATGGAACACCACTAACAGTAGTAAAGGCAACATATAATAATACCGCATATACCTTAGGTTGGTACGAGATAACTTGGTATGGTTCACAGATCGAGAAACATTAGTTCATTTACGACTATCAGTGGTGTTCCATATGAACCACTATCATCATCATCATCATCATCATCATCTTCATCATCATCATCATCACTATATAATTCTGTATCATCACAATATATAAGTCCTTAAGCCGATCCTCTGACATTGATCCTCAGACTGAAATTTTGATTTTCCCAAAACGATCCATCAAAATAGTTATAACATTTGAAATAAATCGGTCGTACCCAGAATGCAATGCGCAAAAGCTGAAAATCCACCTTTATCAAGAATCGAAACCTCCGGTGGATGGAAACGGTAAAATATACATACAAACAGCCGCTTTTACAGAGCTCCCTAACGCTCTGCGACAAAAATTTTTTACGCAGATTGTGAAGTTAGGAGAGCATTTCAAACTTTGCCAATGTACTCATTTTGATTTTTGAGACATTTACTGATGGCAAAAACTGTTATTTTTGCTCTAGCAAAAGTTTGCAATAGGCCCACTGTCCACTTTTCCCCATATAGGCAAACAAGAAATTGGACCTCCGTACAAATTTTGTGCAAATGTCCATAAGAAATTGGACCTTCCCACAAATTTTGAGCAAATGTCCATCAGCCAATAAAATGACGGGAAAAAGTGCCTACCATGTCGGACGTTTCATTCTTGATTTCACTCCCTGTTGTTTTACTACTCCATCCAGCCGCGGTTGTGTCTACCGCGCTTTTTCCTTGTTTTGATAGCAAGTTTCTTTCAGCCAGTCTTCTTTCTGCCGCTGGATTGTGTGAAGCTTCCCCTGGCGCGTATGCCTTACTACTTGCCAGAGATGCAGGTGGTACGCCCATGGTCAGAAACACGTGCAAAAACTGGTTTGGAAAATCTGATGATTAAAATCACGTGAAGACGTCTTCACCTTCCAGGCAAAGTATCACAAGCGCCATGCGACGTTTAAAAATTTCCGCCGCCATTTTATTTTTTTACTGAGAAATTGTTGGTTGAATCTGTTCGAAAATTTCATTAAATTTTATCGGCAGCACAAAGAAAATTCGGTGTAATTTTCGGACAGCTTCGTTGAACAATTCTCTGTAAAAAAATATAATGGCGGCGGAAATTTTTAAACGTCGCATGGCGCTTGTGATACTTTGCCTGGAAGGTGACGACGTGTTGAGACATGGGTGATGGCCATTGGTAGATCCAGCAAATTGGCAACATCGTTCTTCTCATTTGGACATATTTCTACCAAACAGACCTATGTGGAGGTGAGAAATATGAGGTGTGCTCGTTAGTTCTCTTTGCGTAAGAGTGAATGAGAATAATAAAGCGCCAGTGACGTCAGCGGCAAGAATCGAGTCGGGGCCACGACGGGGAGATCGTCGTCGGGGCGCTTTAACTCATGAGCCCTGTCCACAACACTCTCTTGCCATGCCCGCGGCTCATGAGTTCCGCATTCAGTTGCCACATAGGTCTGTTTGATAGAATGTAAAATCCCGCTTTTCCAATTCTTCAAAAGGAATCACGCCCACTTTTACATTTCTTCTTATGCAGCTTTGACGAGAGCACACCCCATATTTCTCACCTCCACATAGGTCTGTTTGGTAGAAATACGTCCATTTTAAACCTATGGAAATGTATCGATTCTTTGAGGGGCCAGGTCGCCAGGTGCGCCGGCACGAATCGATTATTTACCATAGGTATACATGGAAGGAATTTAGTGTTGCCGTAGAGATGAAATATCAACAAGATCGAGGATAAATACCCAGATGTTGGTGAACCTAGTGATTTTACCGCCAAAAAATCAACTAAATTCCAAAATATGGCCATTTTTCCGTTGAAAAATGCTTCTTCGGTCCTACTAGAATGTACCAAGTGGATTCACATGAAAATCACCCGGTTTCCATGTCCTTCCACGTGAAAATAATAACGTTCCCAATCACTGGCGAGGCGTGAAAGATCGATTATCAATATTCCTACATTTGAAGCTATGGTGAAGAATCGATTATTAAGGTGTTCGTTACGAACACCCTGTTTATCGATCCTTTTCCAAAGGTTTAAGTGACAGATCAATCGATACATCGCTAAGCACGCCACGCCACCATGCAACTCACGAGGAACCTAAGTCATTTCTATGAAGTCTTTATGCAAATGAAAACAGTTCCACGTAAGATCGACATTGAACTCAAATACTGCAGTAAGGAAAAGTACCCGAATTTCTGTGTTAATGTGGGAAGTAAAACACAAAATAACCTAAACATGCGATTCATGTTTTTTCGGTCATTATTTCTTTAAGTTACTTTGACCAAATTTTTTAGTTGAATATTTGGACCAAATCCATCAAATCATACTTCCTTGTGAGCTCGTAATGAAATTTATAACACTCCTATGAAACTCATGAGTATCGCAGAGCCCCACATTTCGTCGTCCCCTCACGAAAGCATGTAACTGCATTCCGATGCTGCCAAATTTCTCCTCGTAATTTGTATTTTTACGAGGAGAAGCGTGGGCATCTCTAACTGAAAATTTCACTGATCTTTTCTCTGATCTCTTTCAAAAACCAGACAAATTTTGAAAAACATTGGCACGGGTACATTTTTGTAAAAAAAAAATTAATTGTTTGAGTCAATTTTGCAACCTTGGAATGAAGTTACGTTCCTCCGTGCGGGAACATACGATTTTTCTGATGTGGAAATGACGCCATTCCTGCATTTCCGAGTTTTTTAAGACGGGAATAATACAGAGGCGCGGCGTGCTTTGCGGTACATCGATTGATCTGCCATTTAAACCTATGGAAAAGGATCGATAAACAGGCTGTTCGCAACCGACACCTCAGTAATCGATTCTGTACCATGGCTTCAAATGGGGAAATATCGATAATAATCGATCATTCACGCCTCGCCCCTGCATTAGCTTGAGCCTTATTTTAGATTGTACGACGTACGTGGAACATGATTTCACCATTAAAAAAAAAAAAAAACAAATCAACTCCATTCTGAAGGCTGGGTTGTCTGTTTAAAAATAATCTTTTCAAAAAGAAGAAAATAAAAGTTTGAACAAACTTCTAAAAAAATTGCCGCACATCGCCATGAAAACATTGATATGACGTGTTCCATTGATGGTGAAGAATCCATTACATTTGAGAAGTGGTGATTCTTATAAGTTGGCAATACGTTTTTACTCCATTTAAATGTATGTTAAACAATCGCTTCCATGTGAGGCAGCATGTCTTATCTAGAATCGATATATTCAATAGATCTAAATGGAGTATTAACAGTGTTGCCAACTTGCTGAAATCTTCATTGAATTTGAAGCGCGGGGGTGCAGAAAAGGCATTTCTTGGTTGCGGTGTCCCAGAAACTCCGCTGACGTTTCATCCATTATAATTAGGACAAATTGTACCAGGCACGTAGCCAGGATTTTTTTCGGTGGGGGGGGGGGGCTTGCGGGGTCCCTCTACTATCGGGGGGTCTGGGGGGTATGGAACACCCCCCCAATCCGGAGAGGGGTATGGAACACCCCCCAATCCGGAGAGGGGTCTGGCGGTCCTCCCCCGAAAAATTTTAGAAATTTGTAATCTAATTAGACGCATTTTGAAGCTTCCGTGACGCAGATTTTCCATCAATGTCTACAGAAAATTTACGCTTCCACTTTGAACTTTCAGCAAAAAATGCATGTATGCATTCGAAAAGATCCTGCAATTTTTTGAAATTTTAACTCTATTTGGACGCATTTCGAGGCCTCCGTGACGCAGATTTTACGTCAGTTTCTGCATGAAAATTACGTCTTTTTTACTTTTAGCACAAATTACTTTCCAATTACGCATTCAATAAATCTAGAACATTTTTGAAATTTTAACTGTAATTGGAAGCATTTCGAGGCTTCCGTGACGCAGATTTTCCATCAATGTCTGCAGGATAATTATGCTTTTTTTTTTTACTTTAACACAACATACCTACTACTTTCGAATTGTTACATTCAACAAAGCTGGAACATTTTTGAAATTCCAACTCTATTTGGACGCATTTTGAAGCTTTTCTGACGAAAATTCTAGGAATGAACACGGTATTTTCATTTAAGAGTCTACTTTAAAAGAGATAAATAATTAAAGATCTTCGACGGTCTCAAACTTCTTCTTTTCTCGATCTTTCTCATCTTCTGTCTCCTCTTTCCTTCTCTCTTTTCCTCCTTTTTTTGCTTTCGGGGGGGGGGGGGG